GCTCTATGGCAAACATGAAAGCTCATTATCATTCTGATTACAATTTTCATCAATGTATCTATAGATCCAAGAAACTCAATTTAAAAATCCAGTAAGTTTTCTGGTTTTTTTTTCTTTCTTCTTTTTGACAAGTTGACTTCAATCCACTAGTAGTTCCTCAGGAGAAATATCTCTCTCATAATTTAAAACTCCTGAAAATCCAATAGAGTGTTGGCTCCGATTTAGATTGCATGTGATGGCAATGAGTTGAGCTGTTGATGTAGAGAATTGTCAAAAATAAACTTTATTATAAAAATAGAAGGATAATTAGTAAAACCTATATGGGAGACCAGAGAGGGTGGGGAAGGGTGGGAACAGAGGGATGATGATGGGGGAATTTTTTTTCCTCTCTCTCTGCTGTTCTATTTCTATGATTTTTGGTGTATGTGTGCCATCAAATCGGTTCTAACTGGTACAGGAGGAGATTGTCCCTCCTTCTCCAGCAGAGCATCTGGTGGATTCTAACCATGTGCATCTGGGATTGCAGTGCAGTTTGCCACTAGACCACGAGAGCTCTCTCTGCTGTTCTGTTTCTTACAACATTTTGCATTGATTTATTTTGTAACTGTTAGGAAAAAGGAGAGCGAGGACAAGGGAGAGAAAGAAAAACTGGCCCCAAGAAGCAAACAGCCCTTTATTGCGGGGTCTGAGAGGGATGCCAAGTGACCCAACCGCACAGCTCATGGAGAGGATCTAAGTGGTGCCTGGGCAGTTGGTGCGGGTTTCTTCTTATAGGAGTCCTGGGGAGGACTAAGATGTATTTCTCAGAATTTGGGTGGTTAATTAAATTAACTTTGGGCTATTTTTATCAGGCTTAGACCCTTATGAGGATCATTTGTCTGGTCTGGTCTTTGTTATGACCATCTTAGATGTTACCAGGTTTCTCAGGAAGTGATCAAGCCTGGGTGGTGGTGGTAGTGGTGGAGCAACTGGCATATTCTTCCTTCACTCACTTTTCTTTCCGCTTAAAATGTCATTTGGGTTTTGTCAATGATGTCCAAATATCTAGTGTTGTTGTTTGACGTCTTCGAGGTGACTCCAACTAATAGTGACCCTAATAGACAACAAATCTGAAACTTGCCCTGTCATCCTTATGCTCTCCTCCATGCCCAAGTCCAGTGTTAGAGTCACTGACAGTCTGTCTTGTTGAGAGTCTTCTTTTTCTCTGATCCTCCACATTTCCCGGCATTAGATATTTTTCCAAGTACTAACCTCTCTGCCAACATGCCCGAAGTATGCGAGACTAAATTTCACCATCCTTGCCAATGGGGAACACACTCATTGCTCTTCATACAAGGCAGATTTTTTTTGGTTTTTTGGCAGTCTGTGACATATTCAACACTTTTCTCAAGCATCACAGTTCAAAGGCATCAGTTCTCTGGACATCTTTATTCACTGTACAACTTTAATGTGTGGAAGCAGTTGAAAAATCTTATGGCTTGGATCAGATTCACCTTAGTCTTTAAACTTTATTTTATTTTCATTATTTTTTTGTGTATGCACGGTCAAATCAAATCTGAGTGATACAGGAGGAGATTGTCCTTCCTTCTCCAGCAGAGCATCTGGTGGATTCAAACCGCATACCTCTGGGAATGCAGTGCAGCTTCTTGCCACTGGGTCACCAGAGCTCGCTGACCTTAGTCTTTAGACTGACATTCTTGCTCTTCAGCATTTTAAAGAGGTCCTTGATATCAGATTTTCCCAGTGTAACATGTCTTTTGATTTCTTGACTGATATTACCATGTTACTGCTGTTTTGATTGTTGTTGTTGTTATCAAGTGCCTTCGAGTCGCAGGCAACTCATAGCTACCCTATGAAGGAGATAGTGGATCCAAATAAAATTAAATCATTGACAATCTTAATCTTTCCTCAATCTTTCCTTTTGGTCCACAGGTGAAAATTTTTGTTTCCTTGATGTTGGGATATAATCCATACTGAAGTCTGTAGTCTTTAACCTTATTCAGCAGATGATTCAATCCTTTGCTTTCTGCAAGTAAGGTTGTGTCATCTGCATATTGCAAGTTACTAAGATATCTTCCTCTGATTCTAATGTCACATTCTTCCTCATGTAATTCAGCTTCTCAGACAATTTGTTCTTTGTATACATTGAATAGATATAAAGAAAAGACATAGCCCTGATGCACACCATTTCTTAACTTAATTTATGCAGTATTTATTTATCCTATTCAGAAAACCATCTGCAGCAAGCACTTCAGGACCTCCTCAGTTTCAGCAAGCAGGGTTGCATCATCTGCATAACGTAGATTGTTGATAGATCTTCACCAATCCTGACGCCACACTTATCCTCACAGAGCCCAGGCTCCTGGACAATCTGTTCTGGATACAGGTTGAAAAGGTATGGAGACGGGACACATCCCTGGCATACGCCTTTACCAATTTTGAGCCATTCAGTGTTTCCTTGCTCTGTTCTTACAACTCTTTCTTGATCCAAGCATAGGCTTCACATTAGAACGATCAAGTGTTCTGGGATTCCCATTCTTCTCAGAGTCAGCCACAGTTTGTTATGATCCACACAGTCAAATACCTTTGCATAATCAATGAAACACAGATAGACATTC